AGCTCCAATGATAAAGCAACAGTTGTGCCGTTTCACGTCCACATTGACTGTTACGGACCAATTGACACGCACTGAGTTCATTCACAACCAGCGGGAGGCCATAGAAGCAAAAGCTATCAAAGCAGTGCGCTCTAAGTTTGTGAGAGCCAAAGCAATGCCTGGTGGTATACGGGATACTACGAAAAATGCATCCGGGCGCATTCGTCCCCAGATGACAGGGGATACACCAGCCACAACGAAGCCTCCACCAAGAGGCTTGTACTCCATTTCCAATGTGTCAATAGAGGAAAAAGAAAAAAATGTGTTTGCCAGGTCAGTGGAGGTGGAAGCAGGCCTAAAGACAGTAGCTCCGATGCATGTCAGCACAGCCACAAAATGACATGAAGACCTCTGCCTCCAATATGTCAGCACATATGGATATCAAAAGTCGGGACCGGGAGTATACCCAAATGCGAATGACCAACTCTACACCTTTGTATTTTGCAACAGACTCAAGGGTTCACAACATAGACCTTCCCTTCCTTCTTGATTCATTGCAGAGCAGTAGCATTCCTACCTGTAGACCATCCAGACATCTTAATTACTTCACTGCACCAAGTCTGCAACCTTATAAAAGCGAGGACTTGGCACAACACAATGGGGCTTCTATGGTACACACTGACAATCTCTTTGCGCAATGAAAGTAGACAGGCAGGTGGAAAAACTTCAGAGTGCAGAAGCGGATGCAGGAACCTGTCTCTGAGGAATATGGATTGCTCCTGGCCTACCACTGGCAGAAGGAGAGGGAAGAGATCGATTTGTTGTTTGGTTTGAAATCACACAGACGAAAAGGATGCTGTTCCTGTGGTGATGTTTTTGTTGTTGTCGGTGAAGATGTTGTGTCTTTGCTGTTTCTGTGTGTTTCGGAAGCAAGCAGGCCGGCTGGTCGTTTGTCGTTGAAGGGCGTGCTTGCGCTTTTATTTTTGGATTTAGGAATTAGGAATTTTAATTTGTTTTCGAAAAATCGTTGGAAATTTCACCCGGTTTGGGCTCTCTGCGGACAAAGGTAGGCGTGCGGCCGGCTGGCAACATTTGGGAGAGTCTTATCTGCTGGTTTCGCTATCATGATACTATATCCTACCTACACACTGGCGTTTAAAAAATTAAAAAAAATTTTAAATGATGGACTCAACTTTCTCTTCGTAGAAATGTTTGGTTTGGAACGAAAAAACAATGGTTACAATTTACATAAAAAGCTCAAAATCTACCAAATTTCCCTTCCCCATCAGTCAAAACCCACACGGCTTGGGCTATCTATTGTTTCCTGCTGCGAGCTGAATCAAAAGTGGATGCTCCAGTAGTGTCCACAGAGCGGTAACTACCTGTCTTCTTCAGTCTCCGCCGCCTTTCACCAACCGGTTTGCGTGGACCGTGCTCTGAGCGAGTGTCCAAGTTGTTCTTTGGTTGTTTGCTGGGCTTGCGCCCAACGCTGCTTGTTCGAGTCTTTTTTCTGCCTGGCGCTGGAGAAGCTCTATTCATGGATTGCGTGTTGTTGGCAGTGCAGGTCGACATGCGGCCTACTGGGGCCCTGCCTCTAGAATCGTTGTCGAGAAGTGGTTTTCGGGCGGCATTTCTACCAGGCACTATGGTTGATGCTCTTGTCGGTGGTGATCTACCAGAATTGCGAACTGGAGATCTTCCACCAGAATTACGTCCTTGTGATACGGGGGATGTGGTTGATCTGACGGTTGGAACCCTTATGGAAGATTGCGTGACTGAAACTGGTGAGACTCTCACGCTGTTTGCTTGCACAGATGCTTTCTTCGCAAGTGGTATTGATGGACTTGAAAACTGATTCAAGCTGCTGGCTCTTTTTGGACCCGAACCCTTGCGACCTGACGACAAAGATCGCACTGGTCGCTGTTTCCTTCCAGCTGAAGGTGATGATGTACGAGTTCCACCTTGGTTAGCTTGTCTCCAGTCATAGCGTCTGACGGGATCCTGTAGCAAGTCGTATGCATCAGCAATCTTGGCAAACTCCTCGGTCGCAGCTTGACGATGATCCGCATCACAAGTTTGCTTATCTGGGTGGCACTTCCTGGCAAGTTTGAAGTATGCCTTCTTGATAGTAGCCTCATCGGCATCCTCAGTCAAGCCGAGGATTCTATATGGATTGTCTGATTTTTCCATGATGATTTTATGGTTGTGCTTAGATTGACGTAAGAACACACTTTTTTGAACCCGTCACCGAAGTGTTTCAACGCGCCAATGGAAGTAAGAAACTCACTTTTTCCCAAAATGTGCTCCAACAGTCACATACGGCATATCATACATATTACACAATATATTCAATATATATTTCGCTATCATGATACTATATCCTACCTACACACTGGCGTTTAAAAAATTAAAAAAATTTAAATGATGGACTCAACTTTCTCTTCGTAGAAATGTTTGGTTTGGAACGAAAAAACAATGGTTACAATTTACATAAAAAGCTCAAAATCTACCAAATTTCCCTTCCCCATCAGTCAAAACCCACACGGCTTGGGCTATCTATTGTTTCCTGCTGCGAGCTGAATCAAAAGTGGATGCTCCAGTAGTGTCCACAGAGCGGTAACTACCTGTCTTCTTCAGTCTCCGCCGCCTTTCACCAACCGGTTTGCGTGGACCGTGCTCTGAGCGAGTGTCCAAGTTGTTCTTTGGTTGTTTGCTGGGCTTGCGCCCAACGCTGCTTGTTCGAGTCTTTTTTCTGCCTGGCGCTGGAGAAGCTCTATTCATGGATTGCGTGTTGTTGGCAGTGCAGGTCGACATGCGGCCTACTGGGGCCCTGCCTCTAGAATCGTTGTCGAGAAGTGGTTTTCGGGCGGCATTTCTACCAGGCACTATGGTTGATGCTCTTGTCGGTGGTGATCTACCAGAATTGCGAACTGGAGATCTTCCACCAGAATTACGTCCTTGTGATACGGGGGATGTGGTTGATCTGACGGTTGGAACCCTTATGGAAGATTGCGTGACTGAAACTGGTGAGACTCTCACGCTGTTTGCTTGCACAGATGCTTTCTTCGCAAGTGGTATTGATGGACTTGAAAACTGATTCAAGCTGCTGGCTCTTTTTGGACCCGAACCCTTGCGACCTGACGACAAAGATCGCACTGGTCGCTGTTTCCTTCCAGCTGAAGGTGATGATGTACGAGTTCCACCTTGGTTAGCTTGTCTCCAGTCATAGCGTCTGACGGGATCCTGTAGCAAGTCGTATGCATCAGCAATCTTGGCAAACTCCTCGGTCGCAGCTTGACGATGATCCGCATCACAAGTTTGCTTATCTGGGTGGCACTTCCTGGCAAGTTTGAAGTATGCCTTCTTGATAGTAGCCTCATCGGCATCCTCAGTCAAGCCGAGGATTCTATATGGATTGTCTGATTTTTCCATGATGATTTTATGGTTGTGCTTAGATTGACGTAAGAACACACTTTTTTGAACCCGTCACCGAAGTGTTTCAACGCGCCAATGGAAGTAAGAAACTCACTTTTTCCCAAAATGTGCTCCAACAGTCACATACGGCATATCATACATATTACACAATATATTCAATATATATTTCGCTATCATGATACTATATCCTACCTACACACTGGCGTTTAAAAAATTAAAAAAATTTAAATGATGGACTCAACTTTCTCTTCGTAGAAATGTTTGGTTTGGAACGAAAAAACAATGGTTACAATTTACATAAAAAGCTCAAAATCTACCAAATTTCCCTTCCCCATCAGTCAAAACCCACACGGCTTGGGCTATCTATTGTTTCCTGCTGCGAGCTGAATCAAAAGTGGATGCTCCAGTAGTGTCCACAGAGCGGTAACTACCTGTCTTCTTCAGTCTCCGCCGCCTTTCACCAACCGGTTTGCGTGGACCGTGCTCTGAGCGAGTGTCCAAGTTGTTCTTTGGTTGTTTGCTGGGCTTGCGCCCAACGCTGCTTGTTCGAGTCTTTTTTCTGCCTGGCGCTGGAGAAGCTCTATTCATGGATTGCGTGTTGTTGGCAGTGCAGGTCGACATGCGGCCTACTGGGGCCCTGCCTCTAGAATCGTTGTCGAGAAGTGGTTTTCGGGCGGCATTTCTACCAGGCACTATGGTTGATGCTCTTGTCGGTGGTGATCTACCAGAATTGCGAACTGGAGATCTTCCACCAGAATTACGTCCTTGTGATACGGGGGATGTGGTTGATCTGACGGTTGGAACCCTTATGGAAGATTGCGTGACTGAAACTGGTGAGACTCTCACGCTGTTTGCTTGCACAGATGCTTTCTTCGCAAGTGGTATTGATGGACTTGAAAACTGATTCAAGCTGCTGGCTCTTTTTGGACCCGAACCCTTGCGACCTGACGACAAAGATCGCACTGGTCGCTGTTTCCTTCCAGCTGAAGGTGATGATGTACGAGTTCCACCTTGGTTAGCTTGTCTCCAGTCATAGCGTCTGACGGGATCCTGTAGCAAGTCGTATGCATCAGCAATCTTGGCAAACTCCTCGGTCGCAACTTGACGATCCGCATCAAAAGTTTGCTTATCTGGGTGGCACTTCCTGGCAAGTTTGAAGTATGCCTTCTTGATAGTAGCCTCATCGGCATCCTCAGTCAAGCCGAGGATTCTATATGGATTGTCTGATTTTTCCATGATGATTTTATGGTTGTGCTGAGATTGTGTGCGAATGAAGCTGCAAATATTTACAGTCTGTGACTGGAAAGAAGCTGGTGTAACACACTTTTCTACACCCTTCGCCTGCATTTCAATGTGCGCCAATGGAGGTAGAAACTTCACTTTTCCCCGAAATATGCCTCCAAAAATCGCCTGAAGGGTCGTTCTCGGCGTCACCCACCCCCCCAGTGTCGTATGTAAAAATGTACTGAAAACTATATTTTCTTAAAACTATAAGCCAGCAAACAGACAGACCGCCCCCCTATTATTTGGGAGACGAAATTG